CGAACTAATGTAATAAATTACGGTGAGTTTTTGTTCGTATCGTGGAGCAAAAATATGTTCGAATTTCATGTCGTATCCTGAAAATTTCGTATGCTGGGGCGTTTGTATCCTGAGATACCACTGTATTTTTATATGAAACATAAGCAAGTATACTTTAGATTGATATTATGTTATGTCCAACTTTTTAATTTACATCTTATTTATTTTTATAAATCATGATACTAAGAAATTCTTCCAAATTACCTTTTTCTCAATTCTGAATCTGATGGCAACACTATGTCCAAAGGTTCTAACTCACTTTCATTGTTAAGAATTGATTTAGCATTCACAGTCACACCTGATAATTTGAAAGAAGGTCCACGATCTCTACGTTTGCCAGCAGACACTAAAATAAAAATTTTTTAAATTATATTTTTAAATTTATTTTAAAAATATGAATGAATAAACTATTAAATATAAATGTCTTACAGAAGAAACGAATAACACTTTTGTATGAAAAACTTACTTTCTAAGTGATAAATTGTATTATTATTACTTTTCCTGAAAACTCAAAAAGAAAACTGAAAACTTGTGTTTTAGACTAATCCTTTCTTTACAAAAAAATATTTTGTTTTCTTTTAGCCTAAGCCTTCTTAGCTATAAAATATTTTATATTTTGTAAGATAATGGCATGCTGTATAATTTATATCTAGTGGAATTATATATTTCATACAACTACATTCATTTATGTTTACAACTACAACAATTACAATCTGGTATAGAAATAATGTTCTCAATAAATCTAAATCAATGTTTTTCTTTTTCCATTATTATTTGAGAGTAGTGGTACATGGCTAGTCAAGAAGAACTAATCAATTTGAACATAAGCAGATATAGAGCTCATCCTTGGGGACATGACAACAAAAGTCATTTTAAGAGCTATGAGTAATTGTAACTATTTATTGATTATTCATATATATATATAAATGTATGTATCCCAGCTAGAAATGCAACAATTTTTTCCCCAATGCTGAGGTTCCATAGCTTGGTCCATAAATTTGTGCTTATTCAAAGAAGACTTTAAACACAGCAAGGTTTACTAGGATGAAACAAAAGGAAGACATCATAAAGTTTTCTCCCAAATAATCACATTAGTTCATTATTCTATCAATTCAAATGATGTACAAGTCAAAAACCAAATATCAGCCATTATAATTATTAAAATATAACTATTTTCAAACTGTTTGGTTAATTATCAATTATATTCCAAAAAAATAATAATGATAAACTAAAATTCAGTTCTATTCCAGAATATAATGAAGACCAACTAAAAAGTTTTACTAACTGTTTATGGAATATTGGCTTGAATTATAACAAATTATTTATTAGAATAATAATCAGTTCTTACTATTGCTATCTTCAGCTTGTGATTCTCGTTTTGCTTTTTGTTCTTTCATTGCTGTATCACAGCCGCTGCGTAGTAACTCGCACAAACGTTTCAAATCAGATAATGTTTTTTCTTGTAATTCAGCATCCATTGCAACAGCTTCTAATCTGAAATTTTACAAATAATAAACTTAAGCTGTAAGAATTCATTATATGTTTAAAATTTTTTAATAGATACTATTATTTTCATATCCACATAAAATCTGAGGTACTGTCAATATTCATATCAGCTGTATCAACTATAGTAATTTGAAAAATTATATTTTTTTAAGACAAAATATATTTTGTTGTAATACCTAACTAATCATTATTAACTGTAAAAATAAATTCCTTGATTGATTTATATTGTTTAATTAGGTGTGTCAATTTATCATATTATTAAATTTATAAAATTATTATTTCTTCTCTATTTTCAAAAGGAAAAGTTCCATTTCAAATATAAAAACTGATAATCTTTCAAATTAATTTTGACTTGTACTATTTAAGACTTCAATGTATATACTAAAATATTTTTCCATATTTTTACATTGAAATTCACATAACATTCAAATATTCACTTCTAAAATGTGTATTATGTGTATTTCAATATTTTGTTTGACAAGCTATGTAATTTGATGATGACTTTTTTAAAAACCAAACACATACATTTAAATAAAAATTTCTGATGAATTTTAAAGTTTTAAATCAAATAGTTTCTAAGAAATACTTAGAGATTTAAAAAAAATTAAAATAATAACGGAGATAAAAACTGAGCTTTTAACAAAATTTACCAATGCATAGATTAATTATTGCACAATTTTTTTCAAATATTAATTTTAAAATTGTTATTAAAACATATTACTATTAAAAGAAAAAATGTTAATATAATAAAATTACTAGAATCAATTTTCAATACCTTTTATAAAACTACCTATTAATGTGAAGAATTAGTGCTAAATTAACTTTGTATACAGGTTAACAACACTCGTTAATAAGTACTGGTAAAATATACAATAAACTTCCAATAACCTTTAAATAACCAGTAAAATATTAAAAAATACTACAAATGTTTTTGACCTTTATTTCCAGTCTTCTTCAGGTTAAGAGTTCTGAGATTCGAATAGCAGTTGTGCTTGAAGATTTAAACTTTTTTTTAGAACATATGAACAATTGCATATAGTGATTCATACTGCACGTATGCACTAAATATAGTGTATAGAAACAAAAGAATATATCAATATATTTTTTACACACACACAAAAAACAGTGGAGATCCAGATTAAATGGGGTCTTCGCGTTCATAATATAGCTTCCAAGCATTAGAGATATTAATTGCATCCTTGGAGTTGATGCTATTGTGTAACCCAGCTTTGTATATTTCGAGAGTTTCTAGCGAACATATATGTTCTCTTTGGTGTGATACATTAATTATTTGCGCATTATGCAGGTTAGCTCTTATGCCTGGGGTCGAAGCACAAGTAGCTAAGGCAGTGGTGCCTCTGTTATGCTGAATGTTGTACCTATGTTCGCGTAAACGCTTATCTAGAGAACATATCGTAGAGCCAATATATACAAGGTCCCTTTGAAATCTATGGTCCCTTAACAGAACACAGTATACACTTGGAGCAAATCTTATGTCTATGCGATCTTTGCAGTTGCGGAGAAAGTCATAAACAGTACTGCGCCTCTTATATGCAATTTTTTTAGTTTGTAATTGCTGCAATTTCTCTATAAATATGGTCCAGGTGGTGGTTATATTGAACCACAGCCCAAGATTGTGGACTATTCGAGTTGTTAGTGCTTGTGTTGTTGTTGTTGTTAATATTATGTAATTGCGACAAATAGACACATACAAGCTTATGAATTAATCCTCGTCCATATCCATGTTGTGAGGCTACGTACTGAATGCGTTGTAATTCTGCCAATGTATCATCGAATTTTGTATTGTGTGTGAACACTCTTTTGGTTAGGGCCCTAAATGCTGCTAACTTGTAAGTCAGGGGGTCATCAGAATTGGCGGGAATGAATAGAAGAGTATAGCATGGCTTATAATAGACATTGGTTGATATCTTGTCCTCTTCCAATTGTATATTGATATCAAGGAAGGTTGCATTCAAATTACTCATTTGTCTAACTTGATGCTGAGGGCATATGGGTTATCATTCATTGCATCAATGAAATTATAGATATTGGGCTTATCCCTCCACATAATAAGGATGTCATCAACATACCTCTTATAAATAAGTATGTTATGTTCAAACATAGGTACAATTCTTTGTTCTAGTTGTCTGATGACTAACTTGCACAAATCCCGATATTGGGCTACCCATAGGGACACCGCGTTTTTGGAGGTAAATATTGTTGTTGAAGCGAAAAAATGAAGTGTAGCATAATATGTAGCATAATGGTGCTTGATCTCATATCATCATACCCATCCATAAAAATCTAGCCATGCTTTTGTGTTATTAGGGATTTTTTACTAACTTCTCATGGCACGCACTGTAAACATGTTTTATAACTTGACCACATATTACGGTTTACGCCAAGAAAGATACAGTGGTACCTCAGGATACGAATGCCCCAGCATACGAAATTTTCAGGATACGACATGAAATTCGAACATATTTTTGCTCCACGATACGAATAAAAACTCACCATACGAAGTTATGTTAGTTCGCAGCGCCATTTTTTATTCACTTCTGTTCATCGGTCTCAGTCCATGTGTTTGCTTCGTCGTGGAAGGATCTCGCTCGATAAAGGAAATCTTGAGGTATTATCAGAAAGTGACTGATTTTATTGAAAAGAAACATCCCAAAAAGGTTCACACTGACAGTATTGCCGCTCAGAGTAATGACATTTGCCTAAGTCATTTTAGAAACATCTTAAACAGTAGGCAAAGCCAAACAAACCTCTTTGGATAGATATTTTACTGAGCGACCTCTAGCCAGTGAAAGTTCTGGTGGAAGTGAAGGAAAAAAAGCAAAAAGCAGCAAATAAAAATTAAAACAAAAAAATATAAAACAACACTAATTTTTTTTAATCTTTTCTAAGTTATTTTTAAGTTAGTTACATTATGTTATGTAAGTTAAGTTTAAGTATCATTTCCCTTCTCCCTCTCCTCCACCACCAGTTTACACCTCCACCGTCATCTATCCTCAAAAGTAAAGTGCAAATAAAACTACATTTTTTTTCATCAATTATTATTCTATTATGGTTATTTATACATTTACAACTACAAAATGCATTTTTCAGTGTTTTCCTTACTATAGTTATCTTTTTTTTAATATACTATTTAGCTTTAATTTGAGTGTGTTTTTCGTGTTAGAACGAATTATTTGGTTTTACATGTAATCGTATGGGGAAAAATGATTCACCTTACGACATTTTCATAATACAATATCAGTTTCGGAACGGATTAATTTCGTATCCTGAGGTACCACTGTAATTTCATATGATAAATACAAGTACCGTATGAATGTAACTTGGAAAAAAGAAGTGTAAAGTTCTTAAATGTACTGGTAATAATGTTTCCATTGTGTTATTTGACATCTCTACTCATTTTAATTTTTAATTTATATTTTTGTCAACTCAATATCTGTAATTGTAATTCTAGTGCACTGAAGAGGAACTGGAAAATGAAACCAATTCAAAATGCATATGAATTGGAAATACAGTAAAAGAGTTTCTTGACCTGACTTGCTGTAAGATAGTCTACCGAGAGAAATATTTTCAGATTAAAGAGACAACCATTCACTGATAATGAAGCAAATTTTACCATAGCTAAATGATATAAGAAATATATAATTGAATTGTGTTCTCAACCTCCAGTATTTATTTCACATTTAATTTTACTGTTTATAAAGAAAATTAAACAACAGTAAGTGTAACTGATTATAGTTAAATAGTGTTAAATAAAGATTTTAATAGAAGATTAAAAATAATACTCAATGTTCATTCACACACACCTTATACATTCAAAAGTATAATTTATCTAATAGAATTTTTAAAATATAAAGATATATTTAAAGAAATAAATTTAGTTTACCTCTTCATTGGAGCAGGGAATTTTTTATAACTTCTAATAAACCTATAAAACAAAACAGTTAAAAATTTAATTACTCAGAAATAAAAATAATTAAGAATGTGTATATATATATATATATAGAATTATACTCCAATATATTATGTAAATAATATCTATTTATTCAACTTTGTTTTTAGATATTAAACTATCAAAAATTCAAAGGTTCCTGTACCTTTCAAAAATGGGTTTAGGTGTAATTTTACTGAATTACTTATTATTGAAAATGAAATATATTGCAATTTATGAAATTCTAGTCAAATGGACAAACAGCTCAAAAACGACAGTGTTTTTGCTATAGATTCTGAAAGAGTATGATTCACACAATTTTGATAGAAGAAATTCTCTTTCATAAAACTTTCTTTATTCCTGTAACTGCTGTAAATTACCTTGAAAAAAGTACACCATGTAGATAGACTTGTCAAAAATTTGATTATCATCATGAGTCAAATAGCATTTTTGAATAGTTTGTGCTATTCATTCTGCAACAGACATTTCTAACACAACCCATTCCGAAGATGCATCATCAGCAAGTAATTCCACAACTCATTTCATTGAAAAAAATTCAACTTCAGCCACAACCCATTCCACAACTGCAATAATTACTACAATACATTCAATATTCACAATCTTGACTACATTGATTAGTAAAAGAGCTGTGATCAAAGTTGTAAATGCAGAATAAAGAACAGATTACAGAATTAGCTGCAATTGAAACATTAGCAATAGAATAATTTGGAACTACACAAAAGGATTTTATTATTGATTTAGATGTAATAGTGAAAATCTTAAGCATGTACATTTGAAAACCTGTAGCAAGATAACTGTCTGCTTTGAACATTCTGCCCATTGAAACTTTTGACCAGAACTTCATAAATTACAATATATTTCATTTTCAGTCAATTTTACCTCAACCCATTTTCTATAATGTGTGCATGGTCCATCATTATATAGTAATTAAATACTAAAATTAAGGAGAGTACAAAATTACATTTAGATAAAGCAGAATTTTATAACTTAATACTAACTTTAATTCAAGGATTTCATAATTCAATATTAAATTGAGTAGGTAAAAATAAATAGTAAAATAACTATCTGGAATTAAAGCCGAATAATAATAAAATATCTTGAATTATATGATTTGTAATTTAAAATACGTAACCATTTCTCAACAAAAACTAAGTATTTTTGACTGAAGGTATCAAAATTTTATATTACATAGATTAATTAATTATAAAAGTATAATTTTAAATAATTATAGTAAATTTCATTAACCTTCTAATTTCATTATCAGTAAATCCTTTTATTGTATCACGAGGAAGAATCCTAGGACGTCCACGTTTACGAGGCCTTTCTTCTTCTGATTCCTCTTTGTCAGAACCAGTTTCTTTCTCTCCTGTATCAAGTTTCCGTTTTTTCCCTTGATCTTCACTGTCTGAATGTGCTGATACCTACAATTAAGCATAATAAATGAATTAATAATCATTATCTATAAATATTTTAAAACAAATTTTAAATATCTTCAAATTTATTAAATTCAATATCATGTAAAATATACAAATACACCACTGGATTAAAGTAATAAAATTATTCTTACAGAAATATGTTTTTAGCTTTCATGTATCCAATGTAAGCTATTTAGACAAAACTGCTATCATATTCAAAAATAGAATGCATAATTATTGTCTGGCTAAAGATGGGGTGAAACTTTCTCCAAATTTTATCTAGCTGTACTGTATCATGCTATTTATGTTGCTTTCTATTACTTTAATCTAATAGTGTAACTTTGTAAGTTAAGATAATGATGATTATTACATAGAACCTATATATTTGACTATAAAACTGCATTTACAAAAATACTGGATGTGAAAGTTATGATTTATAATAACAATTATAGCAATAATAATATTTCAATGTTGTTTTCCAGAAAAAAATAATTCAATTCATAATAAAGAAACTGGAGGAAGAACTTGCAAACAAATAAAAATCCATACCTTAATTACTCCAGTAGGTACAATTTAATGAAAACAAAAACATTTAAAATCAAATTAATGTATTTTCATCAGTTGTTAAACATAACAGAAAATTAAATTTAAAAGTTTTATATTTAATTTTCTGTTATGTTTCATTATGTTGAATATTCAATAACTTATGGAGAGCCATTAACTGGAGTGAAAAAGTTTTGTTTCCATTAAATTGTACCTGCTGGAGTAATTTTAGGAGTGCATTTTTATTTTCAATTCATAATTTTAAGTAATTTAAGATTAGTGTCTAAAATATATATGGCATAACAAACCTGATTTACAAGTTTACCTCATTCCTTAATATCTCTTGTAAATATGGATGAACTTTTCCATTATTTATTGAAGTCAAAATTTGTTATGCTCATATGTTATGTTATGTTATAACTCAGCTACCTACCCATATTCCTCAAAGAGCATGAAAGTGCCAAAAACACTAATTTAGCTATCAACCAATAATTCTAAATGAGTATGATATAAGAGAAGCAAATATATAAATCATCAGATATTTTGTTATTTAATGGTGAGAAAATGAATGCAAGAAGAAAATAAATAAACCAGAGTAAAATAAAATAAAATTGTAATCATCAATATAAAGGTTTGTAGTGTAGACAAAATGTATTAATCTGTCTCACTGTGTTGCAATAATTATTATCCATTCAGCATATATTTAACATGAATAAAACAAAGAAAATTGGTGACTGGAACCCACAGGTCTTCTAACTGGAGCAAACAGAAATGTCAATCTCATTACACTCACGATTATAAGGTTTTGTTCTCATAGATATCATTTGGTGCTCAAGTTAAACATTTTTTGTCTTATAAGCAAGAATGACAGATAAAAGAAAACAGTTCATTGTATCAAACTTGCACATAATGAGTATTCATATTATCATTGTATTAATGCAATTTTTTTATTTGCTTTTTTTGAAACTTGTTTTTGATGTGTGCATTCAATTTTCCAATAATTTTTAAAATTATGCAGGGTAATTCATTTTAATCAATCAACTGAAATAACTCAAAAAGTATCCTAATCTACCAAAAAAAATCACCAAATCAAAACTATTAAATTTCAAGGTGGCCACAAGATGGGACTATTGGTTTCATTGTAGATGGCACTACAATTGATGAAAGCAGAACCAACTTAATTTTCTTAAATGGAAACATCCATTTTTTTATTGATTATTAAGATTTTACATAAAAAAAAATAAACTTTTATTTAAACATTTTTTAAAAAATGCACTTTTACATGGCTTTCACCCCATGCACATGTCTGTATATATCTGTGAGGTTCATTAGAAAAACAAAGAAAGAAAAATTATTACAAAACTATTATTACTTGGTGAAATCATTCTTTTTCTTCAAACCATAGACTGATAAAACAAAAACTCATGTCAAAGCTCCAAATAATTTTAAATTTACTAAAAATTGTCACAAATCTCTCCCAGTTGTAATGAATTAAACAATTGATAATGAAAATTCACATATTATATTCAAACAAATACTATAAAAATGATAACATAGACTTACATGAAAAACAGTAAATTTTATAGAAAACGTTAATAAAAGAAAATAGTGTCAAATTTAAATTTTTTACACATTTAAAATTTCCAAAATGCATAAATTATTATTACTTTTTTTTTTGTAAAGCTTTTACAACTGTTGTTAGTCATCAGTAAATAAAATAAAACCTGTCCAAAACAATACACAACAGTAGTAGTCATATAGCCAATAAAATTATTTACCATTACTTTCCAGACAATAAACTACAATATTTAAAAAAAATAAAAAAATAAATGAAAAACTAACTCTTGTTACTAGGAAGTGAACTCTGATTCAAGCTCATAAGTCGGAGCATTATGATTTAGAATTTAGATGCTGTTGTCAAAAAATTTCACTTTATTAACATTGTTTTGCAATTGGTATCCAAATAAAGCTTCTGCTTCTATATTACATAAGTATTTTACACAGCAAAGTATTCTGTTTGTGATTTATTTTTCTATTTAGGCAGATTTCTGTTTTGTATAGGATCTCTTTAGACAGGTTTTACTCTATATTAAAGTACTCGAGAAGTCAAATTGTGTGTCATTCTTTAAAAGAATTAAAAAAAAAATTTTTTGATGACTTTTTGATGAAATTTCATCAAAACATCCAGAAAACAAATACTTATACAATAAAATCTTTAATAAGTAACAAACATTGGAAAATNTGATTTATTTTTCTATTTAGGCAGATTTCTGTTTTGTATAGGATCTCTTTAGACAGGTTTTACTCTATATTAAAGTACTCGAGAAGTCAAATTGTGTGTCATTCTTTAAAAGAATTTAAAAAAAATTTTTTTGATGACTTTTTGATGAAATTTCATCAAAACATCCAGAAAACAAATACTTATACAATAAAATCTTTAATAAGTAACAAACATTGGAAAATAATTATAGTATACCTGAATTGCTTTCCTATTACGTGGTGGTAGATACATCTCCAATTCTTCTCGCTGTTTATCCTCTTCTTCCACTTTCTTTCTATCTGCTTCTGGAATAATTTCATCCCAGTCTTTCTCAGCAGATACTTCTGATTCTAAATGACCAGTACTATTCATACTCACTTCTTCTTCTTCATTGAAATTAAAACTAGCAACCTATTTTCAAAATAGAAAATACATCAATTAAAAAAATGTGCATATATTTTTACACAACTATAAACTACTTTACATATAAATAACAACTGCAGGAGTGACATGCAATACTGACACACATTATTAGTTTAAGACTAATATTTTTTCCAACATTTTCAATTAAATGCAGTAATTTTATTATTCTTCCAATGTTTAATAAGATAAAAATAAATAAAATGTAAGAAAATCAATAATTTTTATTAAACAAGGTAATTTAAATATGCACTTTGACACGAGCATATGAGAAAAATTTAAAAACAAAAAATTTGAAAACCTTAATATGTAATAGACTACAGTCTCATTGTTGATTACAATCTAAAAAAAAATATTATTTACTGAAACATTACACACAAAATTTTTTTTTAAAAAACATCATGTATTGTACATGCATTATAAATTCTGTACAATACATTATGTGTACAATGTGCTGTACAAGATTTTAAACACTTTATTTCATACTAACAGATACATGGCACAATCATGCCACTACTATATACATGATATAATCTACAGTATATTAAATTTCTTTTATATTTTTATGTGGATTGCATTTGATTTTGCTACAATTAAATAATTACAAGTATGTTTAAGAATTTGTGTGTGGAATCATCCAGAACCATTTGGAAAATCCATGGGTAATAAATATCTGCAATCAGCACAGGGATATTTGAGTCACAACAACCAGATAATGAGTATTTATTTTCTCTGATATGCCAATGTCTCAAAGTAAACTTCATATGAAAATCATTTAACATCAAAATCAAGCATTTGGAAGAAATTATGCAATAAGAGTTCTTTAATCCAAAGTAAACTTTGTCAATCAAATTGTCTTTTGATTGGTAACATCTACTTTGAAAAGTTCTTAAATATTATCAAGACTCTGTTGTAATATACATAATAAAACTTTGTAATAATACATAAAAATTCAAGACCAAATATACAATAAAATTATTAAGTTAGCATATAAATTTTAATATACAAATTTACTTTAAATGCTGATAATAATTCCTCTCCAACTGAAACAGGTTGATCTTCTCTTGTTTCAGCACGGCTAAGGATTTCATCAATGTCAACCTAGAATATTTAAATCAAAATTTTTTAAATATCTAAAATTGCAATTTTATAAAATTTTATATTGAATAATTTATTATTATATTTAAAAAGTAATAATATTTCTTCAAAACAAAATGATAAACAATATACAATAGAGCGTCGTTTATCCGAAAGCGTTCCAGTCGGCAAATTTAAATTTCCGCTAGTGCTGTGGCACTGCAACCTTTGGCTATGTCTTGGGCTACTCCAATATTTTTTTTTGTTGGTGTGTTTGTTTTAGCTGGCAGCACTGGCACTTTTGTGTGGTGTTTTTCTGAGGACTGTGTTGGGATGTGTGTTGTGCTGAATCGAACATTTTTGATACTAGATTAACTTATAATATCTTATTTTCTTTTTACATGTTTAAAAATTAAAAATCTTTTATATATGTATACAAGTATGAATAATTTTTTAAATTGGATTAAAATTTTTTCTAATTCAAATTTAATTTAACACAAATTAATCCTAAACTGAAAACGTTTTTTACATTTACTACTTTAATTATTTACATAAATCAATTATCAAATCAAATTAAATTTTAATCATCATTATTATATTTTAGGTTTTATTGCATTTATAAAATCTCATAACTTATTTATAAAAATTATACTTCTATTTATACACACTATTAAATAATTTTAATGAGTATTGAAAAATATTATATTTTAAATAATTAAGCTATAAATGTTTATTTAAATGATTTTATCTTATTATACACAAACAATATAAAAGGCATGTTTGAAAAACAAAGCTTTCATAATGAGCTGTTTCACTAATATGTGATATTCCATAATGATAATGTTGTACTAACTCTTTACACTGTACCACACAAATTTCATTTTTACTTCTTAAGTTTTTCACATAACTTATAATAAAACAATTTTAAAAGACAAATTACTAACATTATTTATTAATCAGAAATTTAAACATTAAATTAATTACTCTTTAACTGACTTATAAATAAATAAATTAAAAAGATAATATTTAGACAATCAGAGTTTTAGATAATTAAATTTTCAAAATAAAATAAATTATTATTACATTACATAAATTTATATGAATATCATGTTAATTACAGTATAATTATTTGAAAAGTTCATCTTAAATTATTTTTAAAATGTAAAATAAATATTACGATTAAAAGAAACAGGACTTATAATTCATACTTAGATAACTTTATATTAAGTATAATTCATACTTAGATAACAAAGTCTTGGGGTTTTTGAGAAAAGTATTACAGTAAAAGTTTTTTTTTTAAAATATGGATGGTTGATGTCAGTACAACCAAAAATATAGGAAAATTATAAGAAAACTCATTTGCTGTAATGGACTCCCATTACTAAGAACTATTTCTCAGATTCCACAGACCGCTGTCATTTTAAAGGACTTTTTAGTCTGTTTTATTTATTTCATCACATTGTGGACAAAGGTCAATTATGCATTGGACAAAATTTTGGTTGTAAAGTATATAAGCCAGATTTTTATTAAAATTGTAAAACAATACTTTATTCATTATTATTATTTTTTTAGTTTTAATTTTGAAATATTATTTAAGAAAAGCTTATTGTAGTTTTTCTCTTGCTTTCCAAGTGTCTGAAATAATCTGCTTACTCAGACATTTCTCAGCAAAAAATAATTACAAAAATTCATTTCTTAATCATTTTTTCAACATAAATTTTCACATTACGTACATTAGTTTTAGTTTTTTTCTCGCTACATCGTGTAAAACAAAGCCACAGATCATAAAAGAAATTGAGAAGTTTTAGATTTAATACAAAAAATAGATGTAATTGGTCACAGTGAAGATGGAAATCTCAAGATAAAGTTGGTAAAGAAATGTCTCTGAGTAAGCAGACAATTTCAGACACTTGGAAAGCAAGAGAAAAACTACAATAAGCTTTTCTTAAATAATATTTCAAAATTAAAACTAAAAAATAATAATAATGAATAAAGTATTGTTTTACAATTTTAATAAAAATCTGGCTTATATACTTTACAACCAAAATTTTGTCCAATGCATAATTGACCTTTGTCCACAATATTGACATATAGTCGATATTACTATATACATTAGAATACCCTTATATTTGTGTAACAGATCCATCAAGAAGTAAAAATACATTAATTTGGCATCTGGACCAGAAAAAACATCCAAGAACTGTGAATGTTTTCTCCAGGTCCATTATCAAAGTCTGTTCTAATGTGATTCTACTGTACACAAGTAATTATAATAAAATGGATTTTCATTAGACAGATTTCTTCAATCCAGCAGTGGTCCATTATATCAAGCTGTTACTGTATATGCATTTAATACTTAAAGATAATTTCATTAAAAAAAAATAATTTTATAAACATAAAATCACTTTTTAAGAACATTGATAATTAGTTAAAGAATGAATCCATAAATGTTTTGTATTAAGTAAGAGCAAAATTAAAATTACTCATGAAGATTTAGAATCTTCATGAAGAATTTTAATTTTACTATCTTCAAAGAACTATGCTAAACAATATTTAGCATAGTTCTATGAAGATATATTTATAAATTATAATAGATTTTAGTAATTGTTATATTGGACATACAGTGAAATTCTCTAGGTTTTTTGAAACAAAGTTTGATATGTTGTATAAAATTACAATGTCACACTAGGGTAAATTACAGCTTATTTAAAAGATATAGGCAGCATTATAAAAAATAATGTATTAGTTGTTATTTTGAATTTGAATTAATGATTAAAATAGAAAAATAAATAAGTGCATTACTGACATTGTGTTTGATCAAGAGGAGAATGCTACAACAGCTGCTAAGATTATGGCTAGTTTATGGTTTATTTGGTTATGGAAATTGCTATACATGGGTGATCTTCCATCCCAGGGATGCCTCCTGGGAGGTCTTTTAAGGGAAACTGGCTCCTATTTAGGTATTAGTAACGTGAAGAAACCCAAAAACTCCACGTGGCTAGCCGTTTGGTTAAGCACAAAACTTTGATCAACTAGCAGTGTTTAATGATTTTATCCACTTGGCCACTGGTGGGCAGCTGTAACAGGAAAGGATTTCTTCAGGGTTACAATTAAAAATAATCCTAGAGTCAATGTCTGGGGACTTGTAGAAAACTTTAAGTGCCAACATTAACAGTTTTAAGAATTAAAAAAAAATTAAGCTATATGAAATGCACAGATGTTTAGTGTCTCAACAAAGAAATTTGTTGGACAGAGAAGCAATATGTAGTAGGCTGTAAAAAAAAAAAAAAAAAAAAAAAANTAATATGCATTTTAAGTAATCAATAAAATATGTAAAAATAATTTCTTAAATTTATAAATAGATATGTTTTATTACCTGTGGTTCTTCATCACCTTCATCTGTTTCCTTAAATAATTCCTCAGCACCAAATTTTAAAATTGCTGCCAATTCTTCTTTGTTGAAAGGTGTAGAATTTGTACTAAAATTAGAATGGCATTTATTTATTTTTTCACAAATTAGTAAAACATTATAGTTATATAAATGAAGGACAAGGTGATTCAAAAATCACAGAAATTTTAAAAAATTAATAACTCACAAACTATTTACAATAAGATGATGCAGTTATAACAGAAATGGTTAGAAAGAAGTGGGATTATTTTATGTGTAATAAAAATTTTAGTACTAAAATAGTTACATTTCTTGCCATAGATGGCACTGTAGCATTTGTAAATTTGTTAAAATAAGAATAAAAAAATAAAAATATTCTTACAAGGAGAGCCTACGGCTTTGGGGTAACGGATTTTGATGATCTTTGGTGTAGAGGTAGTACACGATGTACTACCTGTAAAATACTAAAGTGCAATACTCAAATATAATCGAGAAAATCGAACTTAAAGTTTTGTTAGCACTTTATATATAAATTATACGTATTTCTATATGAGCGTCCTGTGGCAGAGTGGTAACGAGTCTGATTCATAAGCTTGAGTTCTCGGGTTCGATTCTCGCGTATAATTTTTTTTTAA